GAATAGAAAGGATTATTCAAGTACCATATTATTTTCTAGTCTTACTGCAACATAGTGTAAAGTTATGAACCAAACAAACAGTAAATTAAAATAGGGCATGATGATTTTCTACGTATCACAATTCAACAACTACATTGCTACCAAAATAGTACCTTTATAAAATGCATTCCTAATTTTCTATCCATAAAAGTGAGATGAAACTTTCTTGAATGTAAATGATCTGCTCGAGCATGCTAGTAGCAAGAGAATATCAATATCGCCATCAAGAAAGGGTAATACTCGTATTCCTTACTAGCACTTTATTTTTAAATCTAAACCAATTAAATACCGCTTTATGCTTTTTAATATCTGCCAATAATATCTAATGTATGGCTTTGGCATAAGGACTGCAAAGGCGTAGAGTTTACAATGGAGGTAATTTAGATATTTGCTTAGCTAAAGTGATCAATAAGTTTGAGAGCAAATATTTCTTACCTGCGTTTACGGCATTAAATTATTCTCAGCTACAAAATGGTGTATAGCTATTAACCAAACTAAATTAAAATATTGCATGATGATTTTCTACAGGTACAGTTCAATGCATCGCTATCAGAATAGCATCTTTATAAGTATATTCCTATCTAAAAGGCTGTATCATAACAATAAACTTAAAGTTGAGAGTAAACATTTCTTATCTGCGTTCACTACATTAAATTATTCTTTTCGCTGCAAATTGATGTACAGCTATTAATCAAACTAAATTAAAATGGCTTCTAATTAAAGAATACTTGAGGCTTTGAATCAAAACAAATTTCTTTAGCATTAATCTATTTTACGACTACGATAGCAATCTAAATCGATCAAGATTTCTACAAAATATGTGCAAGATGTAATAATAAAACTATGCCTCCAATTGATACTGTATTGTAGAGTTAAATCGAGTAGTAATATAGTAGAAGAAACCAGATAGACTTTAAAAGAAATCATCTATGGTAACTTTGTATTCATGGAGAATTATTTACCTTATGGCAATCTTTACACTATATCGCTTAAAGTCTCATGTATCAAGCAACATTATTCTATCAAGGGCAGATGATAATACGTTTTATGAAGCCAATTTTTATGAAAAGCTCATTTCTACGACGAAATCATAAGATTAGAAACGAAATGAAATCTAAGTTTTTCTATATCTCACATAATTCATGAAGATGCAAAATACTTTTTTTCGATTAAGCTCTATCCAGTATTTATCAAGAATGCACAAGAATATATTTTAGGTCTATCATCAGGTAACATAAACAAAGTAAATATCGCTTGGTTAAAGTTATTCAGCAATAGTCAATCTACTTTTAATCCCATCATTTGGTAACTTAATCTATCGACCATGGACTTGTAATTACTGTATCCAGTAAGCGACTACGGCCCTATTCGACTCGTATTGTAGAAGTCGCTCTCTTCCATTGCATTCTACTTGAAACGAGGCATGGTCGATTTCAATCTAGGCTAAAGCATCCTTGACATTGTGCTTGAGTAGTCTATAGTACCTTCCATTCGTCTACGCTTCGCTTCTGGAACTAGCGACAGAGGTCGTTTGGAAGTCTTTTACAAATAAAGATGGGAGTATAGAGTGCGATGACAGTTTCGATATCAGGAATGCTCGTGTAGTCTGCGGGCAACTTGGCTTTCGTGATGCAAAATCCTATCAGTGTTGTGCTAAATATGGTAGAAGAAATGATGCAATCTGGTTTGATAACGCCCGTTGCAACGGCAGCGAACCTTCCATAGCGGCTTGCAGACATAACGGATACAGACGCCATAATCGTAACCACGGTGAAGACGTTGGCGTTACCTGGCGGCCAAAATATTAATGGCTGGCAATGTGCCCTTTCCATCTTACTGGAGAATTCAATCTGTCCACTTATCACTTTGGTATCAAGTAGTAGAATCATTCTTGCGCTTGCACGAATCCATGACTTTGCTCGATCACTCCATCCTCACTCTTGACGGTGGCCATCTTATACAACTCAAATGGACAGCTCTATTCGCAACGACAGTCTCTTTCAAATCAAGCGCCATCCATACAAGGCTAACCCACCTCAGTGGCACATTATGGACACTATTCCTCCAGTTCGATCTTGTACCAATCATAATAAAGTAAAATTTATATCATCATTCACTAGTGTACGCTTTCAATCAAAGTAGGACAGTAACATGGACCACAATCAATATCTTCAGTCAAAATAAAAAATGCATGTAAAATTGAGAATGAGCTGACGATCTTTCCACAATCATCATCCAACATCCATGATGGTTATTCCAATTTCCAAATCATCCAAAATTGACCAATGGCTTCATCCTTTTCCACTTCTTCCATGGTGTTATGCCGTGGTAGATGATCCAAATCATCACGCAAAGCCAATGAGCCAATCAATCTTTGCAATCGCCAAGTTAACGAAATTACTTTGTTGATTGCATTCCATCCAATCGTCAGCTTCTTCATTATTCAATGTGTACTGCATGCAAATTGATTTAATAGATTTGATTAGCTAAAGTAATAAATAAATTTGGCGGCAAAAATACCTTACCTGCATCTGACTGCTTTGTACCGTATTATTTCTGGTCTTACTACAAAATGGTATAAAGTTATGAACCAAACTAACGATAAATTAAAATAGTGCATGATAATTTTCTATATATCACAATTCAACAACTGCTGTACATCGATACCAAAATAATACCTTCTTAAAATGCATTCCTATCCATAAAATGGAGATGAGAAAGCCTTGAATCTAAATGATCCGCTCGAATACGCTAGCAGTACGAGAATATCAATATCGATATCAAGAAAGTGCAATATCCGTATTTATTACTGCACTCAATTTTTTAAATCCAAACCAATTAAACACCACGTTATGCTTCAATGTCTGCCAATAATATTTATTGCATGGTTTCAGTGTGATGTTTCGGAAGATTGTGGATTCGTCATGATCACAGTAAATTACCAGAGTTAATTTAGTAGAGGAATAGAGTTTATTGGAATTAGTGCAAAGGAAAAACCGTATGAGATTACAGCGAGTATAACGACGTGACTAGTCGAATAGCTATAGTAATGTAGCATAGGTAAAGCGTGCAAGCTTACCGTGTAACTAGCAGAACTAACTAACGAGATAGGTGAAAGAAGATAGCTTTTATAATGTATGAAGCACAGCAGGAGGAAATCATAAATGACTAATAAGAATATGTTACTTCTATGTTAAGACAGGGCTACGATATAATTCAGCTAGATTCAAAGCGATTTCCACAGAGTATTTTGTTAATATAAATTATACATATTTAGAGTTATGCTACAATCTAGTGGAAATTGACTTTTACTAAAAATAGACTATACCGTATTTAGAAGTAAACACTACATTCAGCATCAGGACTGCAAAGGTGTAGAATTTACAATGGAGTTAACTTAGATAGTTGCTTAGTTACAATGATCAATAAACTCGAGACCAAACATTTCTCCTCTGCGTTCACTACATTAAATTTTTCTGTTCGCTTGCAAAATGGGGCACAGCTAGTTCCTAGGTACAGCTATCAACCAAACTAAATTAAAATTCTACAGGATGATTTTCTACGTGTCACAGTTCAATAAAAAACATGCATCGCTAACAGAATAATATCTTTATAAGTTTTATCCATTAACAGGCTGTAGCATATCGTAAAATGAAGATGTGAAAATTTGGGGGTATTCAATAGAGGTAACCCATCAGAATCATCTGTACGAGTATATTGATACTAATAGAACATTAACATCGACATCAAGAAAGGACAACACTGGTAGTAATTACTCGCACTGAACTTTTAAATCTCAACAAATTATATACAACTTCGTCGGCTAGATACCTATTAATAATTATTATATAATCCAACAGATTATATAAGATTTATACAAGTAAACTTTTACATATTCTTATATGATTTCGAAATAATGACTACAAAGACGGAGAGTCTATAATTTAGCTCATGAAATGCCCATTGCCCATCCCATTTCCAAATTACAGTATACTATTCGAACAATCTGGCCTATAAAATTCATGTATAATGGACTAGGAAATACTAATGTCAGCTCGATGGAAATTCCATTTTCTTTTTACTACACAATATTAAATATAATTATCGCCTTCGCTTCAACGTCTTAGCATATCGCTAGGCTTACTAAATAGATTTCGCTATTACTTTAATCAAGTTGAAAGATAAAATTATAGATTATAATTACATTGCTACATATGTGTAAGTTCGAAGAAACCTTTACAACTAGATCAATAACACCTGAATGTGGCGTCGCTTGAGCATTTTGTTAACTGAATAACGAGTTCTTAAACTGTATTGTTTTATTTTAGTTTTTCCTTGTCGTTTAACAACCATGATTTGTATCCAGCCATAGCCAAATATTCAATTTTATTATATATGACTGTAGTATAGCTGTTAGATAAGCTATTGTTGTTAACATATTATGTAGATGTGAATTAGATATAACTTAAAAAATAATACGAACATCTAGAGCTGTTGGCAATAAAAGGTATATATAAGAAATGTTTGTGAAAATTCAAATCTGGATTTCAATTTCGTAGAATATGATACTAATCATACAATTTTATTCTCATATATAGACATAAGTTTTTATCGCTTTACTTAGAACACATACAAAGAATAAGATTACAGAATTCGTTATACCATATACCATGATAGTCCCTATAATAGCAAAGGACTACAAAAGTAGCGAAAACTCTAGCTGCCATAAGTATTTAAACGTGATAATTATATTTGTGATATATTGGGAAAGGCTGATAAAGTTCTCTAAGTTACGAACAAATTAGAATGGATATGAGTATATTAAAGATATTCAACAACTACAATAAAATCTTAACCCTATACTACGTCATTTCTTTTAATTCTTTTCTTGTTAGTCACTCTGTTAGCTGTCGTAAAACAATTTTAATTTCATCGTGGGCGTAATCTAGTCTTTTAATTTATTAGGTAATTTTGGGGGTATCTTTCGGTCCATCTTTACCAGAATCCGTTTTGTTATCGCAGAGACTTAACTTTAATATTTGCAGGGAATAGCAACGCAAGGATTCGAAATCCTTTATCTTACATAATCGATTTTGGCTCGTATAGTTTTTGAGGATATCGAAATCTAGTCTATTCAGTTCGTACTCTTCTGAATTTGATTTAAAATTATTGGATGCTTTGTAGCCATAACAAGGATCAGCTAGCAATGATAAATTTCGATAGCCCCAGATTTTTTCATAACCTGTAGAAGCATCTTTTCGATCGCATGCTTTGCCTTCACCTATTAAGCTGTCATTGATAACAGGTACATAGCTTAACAATGTACCACAACTAATTTCGTATTTCATTTCACGATATTCGATCAGTAATAGTTTAGAAGATTTCTTTGACGCTCCTTCGAATACGCCAACGACGAATTTTCTGGCTAAATCTTCGATATCGATAAGAGAAGTTTCCTGGCCTTTGTAGATTTGAATTTTTGATATGTAATTCAGAACTCTATGAATAACGGTATTGGCCAAAATTTGCAAATTACCAACTGAATTAGTCTGTCCAAGCGCAATAATCTGACGTTCCAACATTCTACACACATCGCACACGATTAAAGACATTATTGGAAGAATTACTTTATGATATGGTAGTAAAGCATTAGTTATTTTAGCTGCTTTATCCTTTGCAGATTTGCTTTTGACCTCGTAAGCGTCAAAGGATAACAGTACTAATCCAATATCCCCTGTGGACACCGATAATGCAATTTCTGGTTCGAGGAAAGAGATAGTCGGTTTGAGAAAGTCAGAAATAGTCTTCTGGAAGTGTTGAACAGACTTATCCGCGTCTACGTCTTTATCATCTTTAGAAATAACAGTATATAATGTATATTTTCAATAAATCTTCTTATACACATAATCATAAAATCTTTAAGAATTTGCCCCTGGATAGTATTGAAATTTTCGAAGGCAGGAACTGTTTCCGAGTCATGGCCATAATCTTGTTGTTCCGATATAATTACTGTTTGTCTGAAATTTATTCCTATAAGAAAAGTATCTTATATCATAGGAGCTCTTATAACAAGAGAGGTAGGATTACGTTCAGATTTCACTAAGAAGAGTATACGCTATTAGAAATTTGTGCGTAAGAAAATTGGGCAGTGAAAGGCTACAGTATTTCTGGAATCTATAGTGCTTAATCTTTATAAAGTAAGAACAGGTATTATTACAAGAATGGTCATTATAAGCTGTTTAAGTGTTCATTATTGCAGTGTATTTTTTAACTTAAAAATCTTATTTACGAAATTTAGACTTTGATTTGACCTGCTGTGATATCGAAGGACTCAATCTGCTATGCATCGAAGGCCTCGAACGCCTGATGGGCAATATAAGAAAATAATTACAAGATTCGCTATTGGCTGCTATGCTACGTAAGATGACGTCAATACTAAGTATAACAAGCTGAATTAATTCTGTCTTTCCTTTCATAAGAATTTATTTAACATTGTAGTCCATTGATAGAGAATTTTCATTAGAGTGAATAGCTAGCTGAAAAACCAAAGCTTTTTCTGAAATATTTATATCATACAGAAGTATGAAATTCAGTACAACGCTTTGAAACAGGAAATGGTATAGAATATCTAGCAATAATTCAGGCTCCGAGAGACGACAACATTTATTTGGAGTACAGTATTATGAATTCAGTATGAGTACGAGTATTGCAAGTCAGAGATCCGCTACATATTCTAGCGCCTGATGGTTCTCAAATTTATTGCAATTTAATGTACAATATACTAAATTATATATAGAAATCTCTATATTCAGATAGAGGGTATTAAACGTTTTGTACGGAAAAATTAAGGTACACTTCTAAGCTACTTTAAAATTTGGGCGATAATGCTCGGCCCCGCGGGTTGTGTATATGCTATATATATACAAATGCCATACAGAATCTCGTTCTAGAGAGTACTGAAATATTTTTGTAAAGGTCTCGTATTCACAGCTATGTATCTGTTCATATTTAATGAAGGTACAATATTAAATACTGAGAAATGAGACACGGACGATCAATGACTTTATACCGAATAATAATTTTACCTCAAGTATGTAACTATCGTCAATATTCTTAGTTACGTAGCTGCAAGGAGAATGTCATTAACACAAGCCAATCTACACTTAGTGTCTCCATGGTGCTCCTTGGGCGATTGGCTAGTGAAAATTTATCTTTACACTTATGTATTTTAACATTCTGTACTTCTACAGAATCTTGGATATCATGCCACTGGATATTACGTCCTTGGTTCGTTAAAATAAATCATAAAGAGCAAGAATTTAACACTACTATCAGTCCAATTGAAATATATCCAAGTAACTTACCTTGTAAACTGTATTCATATATGCAATGTTTATGCTTGTACTCAAAGACAAGCAGTTGATTAGTGCTGGGAATTAATCGTACAACTTGACACCGATCGTGACATGGTAATCTTGTATAGGATTGGACTAGACCATTTTCAACCCTGAATACGACTATCTAAAGAAAAATGAATGAGTTGTATAAATAATACTAAATTTGTTGATAGAGGCAGAAATATGGCAATAAACAAGTTTTTAATGCACACCTTGCTTATTGTACATAAATCAGGATCAAGAACGATAAATTGTTGGTCATTAGATACGGAAATGCAATCGCTATCTTTCATGAATTGTATTTCTGTACCAAGTTCGCCAAGTTGGTCACTTGATATAGAAATAGAAACGCTGTCTGTCAAGGATTCTTCGTCTTCTGATTCAGTACTATAATCGCTATCTTCAGCAAATTTCTGGATATTTGATACAGAAATACTATCGCTGTCTACAATATCATGCCATATCGGCTGAAATCGACTTGAAAATTCAGTAAAGTAACCATTGCTATCGATATCATCTTTATTCATATTGATCAGACCGAGTACGCCCTTGAAGTCATTTTTATACGACTTGTATCTCAAAATTATAAATCCAGCATTATTGTTGATATAGTTAATACAGCGTATTTCCAGGCCATGCTCAAAATTGTCAGTAGGAATATAATGATTATCTTTGCTATATATGCAAGCAGGCACTTCGATTGATAGAAGACAAAACCATGGTTCTAATTCCATAACTTTAGATTTCCCCAATACAAACTTTTGATATCCATTGAGTTTTATAATAAAAGAATATATCATTACTTAATTTTCTTTACAGTAACTGAAATCTTACTTCTACATAACATTTTCTAGTCAAGTTTCCTGTATTCTCAGCTCTAGCAGCAGAACTCTTGTATTTTTTCTACCAAAAAAGGAGCTGGCAATTGCCTTGGCTCATAATCCATTTACAAGAACTTATCTCGTATTCGCATGATATTTGCTTATTTGTAGGTAGTATTTGATTATCTTTAATCTCCAAAATGTATGAGTATATATGCAAGTATAATATTCGATCGCATTTCTTCACAATTACTTTCGCAGCCGAGTTTATTTATTTAATCTAATTCATTTCCTACATACCCTAACTTCGTGACTGCCATATGTCATCACCATAGAACACTTGGGCATCGCAGGGCAAAATTGCAAATGATGGAATTGATTATTAATGTCTCCTTGTTGACTATTTCCGACAAGGTAGATTTGTTCGCTTTTATCAACATTGTAAACTTTAAATTCCTAATATAATAATATATTAATAAAGCGGTCATCAATTAAATACTATCTACTTACATTATTTGTAAGCAGTATTTGATTATCGCTAATTTCCAAATCTACGAGTATACACGAGCACAATATTCGATTACACCTAATTACTATCATTTTTCTCTCAAAATTAAATATTTAATCTAACTCATCTGTTATATACCCTAACTTCTTGCAAACTATATGCCGCCATAATATAATCTTTGAAAAAAGTAGGGTGAAATCGGAAATTACGCAGTCGATTCTCTATTTGCATGAAGTTAGTTTTCTCGTTATTAACAGGATTGTAACCTATATATTTCTAATGAATAAATGCGACAATATAGTGTTACGGAGCTGGTTCTATGTTATTTTATAACATGTTATAATTTAGAATTTATATTAATGAACTCATCTAAGTTATTATTTGTGTCTAGACTTAATTACTTAGAAAGTGCTAATTATTCCACCAATATCTATTTATTAAGTAGCACGATTAATTAATGTTGTTTACTAAGGTGTCATTAGAGCTGCTAAGATTTATTTGCTTACAGTAAGATATATATTATTTTACTGTACTACGCATCTTTAATAGTTTTTGGCATTAAAATGTGATCACTATACTTTTCTTAGGTGGCGCTTCTTTATCGGTTTCTTGATCTAATTTCGTATAAAATGAGTTCAAGATATTATTCAAATAATTTATTGAAGAGCACTTCAATAAAGCTTAAATAAATTTATGTATATATTTAAGGTAGACAAAACTTGTACTGAGTATAGTTAACAATACTAATACTACTAGCATTATTTTATGGAAAATTGAGATTTTACTACCTACATTCAGATACTAGTGTACTATCTTTGAAAATTAAGATCTAAGAAATAACGTAAGTAGGAAATATAAAATCATGATATGTAGTCAATGTCAATGTACAATAAGCTTACTCTCTCTCCAGGAGTAAGCTTCACTTTCCAACCTTCGGCCAAGATTATGGATACATGGTACATTAATTTCTTTTATGAGGCAGCAAAACTGATAGAAATTGTCATCACTGCCGGACTCCAATATTTTTAAGAATTCGAAGATGCGTTGTTTATCATCACAGCAGTCTTTCAGTTTATCAATATCCTTAAGCGATATTTATTTGTATCCTTCGTAGTTCATATAAAATCGTTAGTATTGGCAGGTTGTTAATCATAAGCGAATAATTTTTCTTGATCACTTTTTGGATATGCTTGCTTAAAACTATATTGTAAACTAAAGTTATAATTGTATATCGTGACAATTTAAACTGCAGCTAGCAGAAACTTGCTAGAAGAAGTAGGAGAATAGCAAATAGGTATGTCAGAAAACTACAGTTATAGTACTTCTACAGTACATTTACAAGAGTTGCATACATTACGTAGTAATCGTATATATCCACACGGAGCCAGAATGAAGAGCGAATACAATAATAGCTGCTGCAGTTTATAGACATTAGAATGGACAACATTAACATTACATGACAGCCATATAAGGATTGATAAACAATACGATGAATCAAAGATAGCCATATATGTACGTATGTAAATCGTACGATGATTAGTAAATAACACTTCGAATTTAGATAGCCGGCTGCAGTTTATAATTTACATTCCGGATTGTCAGCCAGTGTACAGTACAGATAACATCTGGCTTGGTACTTACTAAAGTAAAAATCATAATATTTGCTGTTTACTTTCACATATCCATCTAAAAGCAGAAGCCTTTTATGCAGAGTGTGATCAATATAAGGGAGACTGCCAGTGGATGAAATTATTTGCTAAAGAATTGGAATACAAGCTTCGAATCTACTGCTACTGTAAAATAGCAAATATGGCACTGAAATCTACTATATTCCGGGACTGTGCTGTACTGCTAACTGCAGTCTGCTACTGTGCGTACCCATATGCAGCAAGATCACCGCTATATCTAAAGGAAACGTCACCATCTGATGTCGATGTCATTATATTTCAACTTGAAATGCGCTAAGATGCTATAGCGGGCTTCCCGATATTGATTTTTAAATCGAAAATATTTACGCTCCATTTTGAGAGTAATTCTCCATATTAATATAAACTAGTACAAACTCACGTCGCTTTGCTGACGCTTTACGATAATGTACTTATTTGTTAATAATTAACAGATAGTATTACCATTCGACACTATATATATCCCGGTAATAGCCAGGCACTACTATATTCAGAGCTATGCTTGTAGAATACTACTTTTCAATAATGCATTCGCGGATGAAATGCTATATTAAGATTAGTTAATGGTCCAAAGCACATTATGATAACTAATGTACGGTGATGGACATACCAAGTTAAGATTAGCAGGTACCGTAAGATATCGACAGTGCGGTACAATGTCTTTAGTACTGTGGTCAATTCTACTGTATACCAAACATTATAATGTGTCTAAGGATCGCTTGCGTATGCAAGCAAAGCTAACCGTTATAAAAAAATGTAAACAATCAAAATGGCTGTGTAGAAAACTCTATAAAGATTCTAGGTTTATTCAATTTTCATCAGAGTATTACATCAAATCAAAATTTAAAGGCCCAGTGGCCACCCTTAGCGATATAACGAATACTATTTTAAAAATCAGTACTCTGCAGAAATAACTACCTTAGAGCTATTCGTTTTACATGAAGAAATCTTTAGGTAAAAAGTACTGTAAGAATCTTATACTGACCTATTGAAATGAACCCATAATCAAAGTCATCTAACCGTTGATTTTTAAATCGAAAATATCTACGCTCCATTTTGAGAGTAATTCGCCATATTAATGTAAATTATACGTATATTAAATTATCTAAGCGAACCTACGACTATATATATGTACAACATATTTTAGGCACAACTGGGTGTGTGAGCTCGGCTAGTTGATTAATAATCGCGACAAGGTTAAATTTAAATTTAGGGAAATATACAGTAGATACCTGGATATCTTTCATTATGCCACGCCTAAATGACCTAATAATCCAGCGATTAATTTGATAATCATAAGAAATTGTAACTCGAACAATAAAGGCAACTATACTAATCACCTGAATTATTGCAGAAAATCTTCTACAACTGTAAGAAATTTGCATCTATTAATATTTGTAGGTAGTACATGTAGTTTGAAACCCTAATGCATTATGATTATGTCTCCTTTATTATCGTCTTGAATTCAATCATGTTAGAAATCTTTTCGGAAGGGCAAAATTCTCGTATTGTCTTAGAAGTATTTGGTTAGATTTGTTCCAGAATTTCGATGACCTTATAGTTACTGAGTTTCTTAATTTGAGATGACTAATGAAATTTATTTTACATTTTAGTTTTAGAATGCTATGGGCAACAATATCTGTAAGAAAACTTTACGCCATCTTCTAGATTATGTATACTGCTCGTAAAGATTGATACCGTCATCTAGAAGTTATAGTAGATCGTATCTGAAAATTCGAAATATGGTTCTTTCTAAAATATGTTGTCTACTTCATTTAGTAAACACGGTATGTAAACCTAAGTATTTTTGAAATTATTAATATGTGCTAATCTTTTGTTAGTCATAAAGCTGCTATTATTATTTGTAGGCCATAAAAGTTCTAACCCATAGTAATTACCTGCTATGAACCATTTTAAATTACATTATCGTATAAATTGGCTAACTTCAAGTCATACAAGTCATAACCATTAGCTCAATTATATACAAGCCATCAACATTAGCTTAATTATATACGTCGATTACTCACTGAATCAATAAGACTTCCAAAGACTAACATTTTCCTCAGTCTACTAACTAAGGATTATAAGAAAAAATTTAATTTTTATTCACATTTTTAAAGAGTAAAGCTGATATGATAGTATAATATACTAATCATGAGTCATGTGCCGCGCTAGCGAATTTTGTTGGCAATATTTTTTTCACTTACTACGCCTTAAAATGATATTCAAGCTCCATTCAGTATAATTTAAGATTTACTGGCTTCAATTTTAAAAGTAGCCACATTATTGGTTAATTTAATATAGCACGATAACGTGAAATATGCCTTTTATGAACTGCATATAATAAAACCTTTATGCCGGATTTCATCGCAATTTTATGGCATACTAATTTCAAAAAATAGTATTTTCAAGCTGATCTAGTCAGAAAACTACTAAACCATTTTGCTAACTAAATAGTGAGTCTTTGAAAATTTTTCGCTTTACTTAAGCTTCATCTTGTCGTGTAATAAATTACACGCATTGCTATGAAATCGAACTATATAATCTGTTTTTCTGTACGCAAGATATCAAACGTACATATGGAGTAAATTTAATAATTACCCTTAGTAGCTACAGCCACAACTTCATTATTTACTAACATCAAAGAGTTTTTATGTAACAATTATTTAAAATAGCTTATTTAAAATACTTGAAAAATGTCGTGGAATCGAAATGTGAGAAAGTTAATTGATAATGCATTTAAATGGCCTTTCTGAATAATCTGTGTATTGATTGTCTGATTGCAAATGTCGACATCAAGAAAGGATTATATAAATGACCTGCTCCGTCCTTTATAATCAAAAACTAATTAAATTCTTTGAGTTTTGTGACTAGACTCTCATGAATAAAATATTAGAACACTTGTCTAGTCTAGGTAGAATTTACACTCTATTTATAGTTCCTGTACAAAAAATGTCTGAAGTGTGGAATCTACAGTTAGCTTAGTCAAGTAGCATAATTCCTATCCGGGATCAAGTTTTAATTGCAATACAGTATCCAAATTGTGGTGTTGTGGATTCTTTGCGATCGGCTAACTCTACCTGTAGATCTGCCATATCCGTGATAGATTGGGTTAAAGGTGGTGAATTATACTGTACGGTATTCAATTTTAATATGCTGTAATATTCGAAACCCATTAAAAGTGATTATCAAACACCAACACCGGCATTACACGAATTCTATTTCAAATTACTATTCTTTTTTAAAATCTATCTAATGAACACGCGCCCTCGTTAAATTTTCGTTAACTTTTGATTCTTGCTGAAAATGCCATTCAAAATCTTAGTCAGATTATTACGTACGAGCATACTCGAGATAATTTTTAGCTAAATAAATAAATATTTGTATCTTGTTGGTTTTTAGTAGTAACTGATTATTTCAAAATGAAGCTTTTTAATTTCTTTCCGCCAAATCAAGTTAATCAGTACGCTATTTCATTGAAAGAATTTTATCAAGATATCTATTATTAATTATCTTTATTAAAGAAATTCTCTACTCCTCGTCATTCTATTCGTTGATATCTTATAATATTAAACGAAAAGAAAGTTAATAGTAACATTATTCTGTCAACAATTACGATACTTTTCATCAGCTAATAGTATCCTATCAACTTCTTAAATGTCACGAAGGACCAAATACACGAATTGATAACAGGTGATTAAATCAGATTTCATCGCCATGATTCCAGCAAAGAAAGGCTAGGATGTTTTGTTACCTGGATAGTAAATTATTAAATTTTATAATATTTATTTAAGTTTTAATCTAATTATGTATTCAATTTTTCATATGGGAATGGGCTACCGTCATGGCACTTCCCCACAAATGTTTCTGTTTATGTGCAATCAATTATGAAGTCTTTACACGAGGAAAATCAAAGTAAAAGAAACATGAAGCTAATTGAGGCCTTTCTCAGCGGATATTGCCGATTGGTTCTGATATAAAAATAAGGTAATAAGAATTTAGTTTCATATACGAAATGTATAAGGTAATATGTTCCTAAAATAGATAATACAGCTGTGCAATATTGAATAGGTTTATAATTTTCTGTCTTGTAATTTATGTTTACTATCTAATCTTCATCAGGCACTGGTAATAAAAATATTGCGTAACAAATGAATCCATTTTTCAGTCCCAGACATACAAAGTGACAACATGAATAATTTATTCATTTATCCTTTGTTTTAAGCTAATTCCATTAATTTGATTGTTGTACTTACCATACGCAATATTTTTATCCATATCAATTTGTCAATCATTAGCTGGATCAAATACCAGTGAAAAACTTTATCCTCAGATATCACCCCCATATATTATTCTACGCTATCATGTTCGATATATTTCTTATTTATATCTAGAAGTCGTAGAATATTTTCGTTTACTTTTCCATTATTTTTCACTTAAAATTTTTATCAGCTCGAAGGAATGAAATAAAACCTAAATATTATTTGCTTGATAAATAAATCATACGGCACCAGCATCGATTAAACAGAAAATTATGAAAAATGAACTTTGTCCCTTTAAATCTGTTTTTTTACTGTAGATTCGGTGATTTATTTTATTACTATTTGTAGACTACCAGGTATTACTTACTAGTGATGAGAGGCTGTACAAGTACATAACAAGGCTTAAAATCATGGCATATAAGAAATTAATTGCGTATGGCTACCTTATAATTATCCCTTCCTTAGTAAGTAACTTTTCATATCTTTCTAGAATTTATAGAATGACATGTATTAGCCAGAGTAGAAAGTAGCGTCTCAATAAATTTATTCCAAATTAAAAATTTAGATCATACTATCGGACCTTCCTCCAGTATTTTCTGGTAAGATTATATTCATAAAATTATTACCATACATATTATGATATTAAGTTAAATACTTTTTTATTGCGCATTGAATGCAGATTTCATTTTATCATCATGTTTAAAGTTTTGCAAAACATTCTAGTAGAAGATATTACGAATCATTCTTTACTTTGGATATTTGATAAATATCGCTAAGAGTATCGCTCAAGCAATTGATATGCTATGTTACTTTATATTAATCTTCAAAAAGGGCAAATTTTTAAGCCATTAGAATGTCAAGTAAAATGAATGATGAATTCACTTATATTCCTAAATTTACTTTCTTAACTTAACATGTAAGCTAAAGAAAAATAGAACTTTATAACCAAGGCAATACAGATTTCTACTTTAACCCAAACTTGAACATTTTGGAATGTATCTAGAGCCATGCCAACAATACCAATGGCTAAACGGAACCGATCGATCGAGTATAAATGTGAATCTGAAGTATCAATGCGATACTAATTTAAGTAATTCATGGTATCGATTTGGAGGAGCAGATGAAAATTATGTATTGCAAACAAATTGTTCCGAAATTTCAAATCTAGGAGTTTGTGGAACTATTTCTCCTGGCTGGATGTATGGCAACCATCCACAAGGTTTACTGCAATGATTGAGTCCATTTATATTCTAACATCTAATTTAATATGAAATTAATATTATAGGAGTAGATTTTCCGTCTATTTAGCTCTCACTATCATTTTCTTTACTTTATACTATATTGACCAAATTATGAACATCGATCATTAAGCTTTGAAAACTGTTAATCGAATGGTTTGCTTTTACTTCTACAACGATTGTTGCTTCTTTAAAAGAGAAATCCAAGTTAGAAACTGTCGACAATTTATGATTTATCGGCTGCCCTCAACAAATCATAAATTGTGTTCAGCTTATTGCACCAAAGTAAAAGGTTAAACACTTGTTGAACACAGGCGATCTTCCATAGTAAAAAATAAAATCTCATCAATTATAAATTATCAGTATACTCTTTGATTTATCTGCATTGATCTTAAATGAAAACTTTCTCACGTAATTTTTTGTAGACTACTGTGATCCAAATCCTTGTTATAATCATGGTACGTGTTCTTTGAGAGCAACTGGATATACATGTTCATGTTTGCCAAGATATACCGGAGAACACTGTGAACGAAGTAACATATTATCATTAATGCTTGATCTAATTCGATAATATAATCGTCAACATAGTCTCTTTTGAATTCGTTTTAACTGTCCTGAATCATATTAGATTTCGATCCTTGCAATGCAAATCCTTGCAATCAAGGGATTTGTCTTACAAAAGGACAAGGATATCAGTGTCTTTGCAAACCCGGTTACACCGGCAAATATTGCCAAGATGGTAAAATACAGTAATCATAAATCATCTCTGACTCTTGATTTGTACGAATTATCGTCCTATTTACTGTAATATTCCATTTTTAAAACAGATCTTAATGAATGTCGGACTAATAAATCTATATGCCAAGGAAACTGCCATAATACAGTTGGCAGTTACTTCTGTTCATGTCAAAATGGACAAATTCTAATGGCAGACAAAATTTCTTGTTTCGGTAAGATTCTAACTCGCAGTATTGTAGACATACGCGTAGTACTCAGTAATAATTATGTTGTTTTATCTCTCTAACTAATATAACCATGAACTTGTATAGATCCTTGTCAAAATGCAATTTCGTTAACTGATCCTACGAGATCAATATATAACGATGAACCATCGTCCTTCCATATTAAATGTGATCGAACTCAATTTAAAAATAATTTTTGGTATCGTTTTAATGGCGGCCGCAATAGCCAAATGATAGCCCAAGGAAGAGTTAGTATGCTAAAATGTGGAACAATATCGCCAGGATGGCTGGTAGGAAATCACCCGGCAGGTACTGTGATAGTATTAGCAACTATAACTAAGATTTCACGTACCATCAGTATAATTACTGTTGTAGCCTATTTAAGAGCATATAAAACTTAACTCATGATTAAAAATGAATTTTGAAACTTGCTACTTCATGATCTCATTATTAATACATATAAAATTCGTGTAGTTTATTAAGCTCAGTCTTCACGCAAAATGAGACACTAGATATAAAATATTGACATCCAGTTGTCACGGTACGAACTACCGTGAATAAATAGTTGACTAAATTTAGGCAGCTAGACGTTTACTTAGGCGATAACTATTAATGGCTTACAGTAAGATCGACGGTAGTTATTATTTGTTACAGTAAATTATGCTGCACTGTAGTAAGAGTTCTTATATGGTAAATGATGTTAATTGATTATTGTGCTACGTCTTGTGACACTTGCGATTAATATCCTGAAGATAGTAAACTATAGGCGATACCATAAATAATTCTATGAGTGGATATATTGTAGTCTAGTTATCTAGAATCATTCGGCATATATCTACGATTATAAATATCTCTGTATTAATTTAGCTATCCAGTATGAATTAACTTTCATAGTTTTATAATGATTCATTCATGCTAGCTGCTGCCGAAGGGTATTTTAAGCTCGGCAGGCAGCTGAATAAAATCAAAATTCTCTAGTCATTTAGCGTAGAAGCAAAGACGTTTAAATTCTTGTGAGATAGTTAAGGGATACTGAATTCTAATGACTTTAGTAATTTCAAGATTTGTTTTACGTTATCCTTGTCACGAAGCTGGTTTATGGCACTAGTATTTACAATTATCATGCATATACTCTTACTTCAACAATTAGATGTAACTTATCACCTTACGTAAATATTTCTGTATTTTTGCAGTGACAGAAGGCATTGCTACCGGAAAAGTTTGTTTTACATGGGGTCCTAGTCCTTGCCATTGGAATCGAACTATCAATATCAAAAATTGTGGCAATTACTTTGTGTATAAACTTCCTCCTCCACCGGATTGCGATTTGCGTTATTGTACTACCAGAGCCAGTTAGTTATTTAAATTTGTAGATATTGAATTTAGCAGAATCTTCATTAAAAACAAATAATTATAAAAATTTTGGCTACTTTCATCAAGAAATAGCTCTCAAATATAGGATTTTATAGACTCTATGATAAGAATAATCTTATTATTGGAAAAAAGATAAATAGTACCATAAAAGTATGTGTACACTACTCTATCTAGCATCCTATATGGAATCTAACCTTCATTAAAACTACCATATTAGTCTAACAGTCAAATACAGGACTTCAAAGCTTTTGCAAATAATCACTTAATGCATAAGAAATGTGCAATACTTCGGATGAATGTACTATGATCAAAACCCTTTTAATCAACTAACACAAATATGAGATATTTGCGTTGTAATTAAGCTTGTGTGACAATTTATCACTTAATTGTTTGATCATTTTATTTACTAGCAATCAATAAATGCTTCTTCAATCCATGTCGATACGGCGAATGTATCAACATTACTGGCAATCATCAATGTATTTGCAGAAAAGGATTCACAGGAGCTGATTGTGCACAAGGTAGTATGTTGAAACGTCATCGATTTCTAGATCTGTGATTTTCATGTCGTAGTATTTCCTGAATTACGATCTAATACTGTATATTTAAGACACTTGTTAGAAGACATTAATTTTTATTACAAGTATGAAATGCTTATAACTAGATATCAACGAATGCGAGACTTTAAATGGTGGCTGCCAAGAGGCGTGTATTAATACGTTTGGTAGTTATCGTTGCCAGTGTGCAAATAACTCGATCTTAATGAAAGATGGCCATCATTGCCTAGGTAATTTTTAATTCACTGATGAATGTAATCGAAAGTTTATTAGAAACTGCCATTCTTTAAAATATAATTAAAAGCTCAAGGTATTACCTGGATTGCAATTACATCATTGGATATTAAATGGTTTAGTATGACTTAATTGTTACGTTAAATCTGAATTTACAGCCTACTGACATTTTAAGAGCACCTCATGTTTATCCGGTCTTTATTAAACTAATAACTTCTGTTATCTTAATCGATGTAATCGCTTATGATTGATTAAGAATTATGGACATTTATTCTTATGAAATTTAGAATTTGATATATCGATTAATAGACCTCGTATTTGATACTAGTAGCTTAAAATTTATACAACTAACAATATCCTATGTATTCCAAACTGTGCCTTAATTAGCATGCCTAAAATGATAATTATAAGCTATGACGCAACTTTTACTATCACGTAGTACTAATCATATGGAATTATTTATTTGTAGATCCTTGCAAGAAATACCGTATAATTTCTGATAATACAAGATCATTTGATTTCTTCAATCAATCCATCAAGCTAAAATGTGACGATAATATTATCGAGTCAGTGTGGTATCGCTTCAAAAGCAGCCATAAGGATGATTTGGTAGTTCCTACACGATGCATTCCAATGTTTAAATGTCAAACAATATCCACTGGATGGATAAATGGCAAATATCCAACAGGTTTCAGTGATTACATAAAAGGAAATAAATAATTTCAGATTTTAACTTCAGTAATTATAATCAAAGCAATATACTGTACACGTATAATATGTCAGCGTATAAGCTAATGAATTATTAACGTAGCTATTCCTTATTTGTCTTCTTTTCTATTCATATTCTACATAGTTAACCAAGGAATTGTCAAAAGAATGGCTTGTTTTAATTTTCATAATAGTTGCTGCCATACATCTAACATGATTCGAATCAGAAATTGCCATAGCTATTTTGTATATAACCTCAGTGCAAGTAAATCCTGCAATCCGGGAACAAGATACTGCACGATTAAATTAGGTAAGTCATTAAAATAAAAACTTTCGGCTGTAAACTAGTAAAAATTATTTCCAAACTCGCTTATATCTGACTATTCTTACAAGAATTCCGAAATAAAATCAATGTAAAATATTATGAAAATCAATCAAATCAGTACTGTCCGAATCTTTTTACAGACAAATGTCAACCAGACCCATGCATTCATGGCACTTGCTACCGTAATAATTCGAGTTCATTTTATTGTCAATGTCGACATGGCTATACTGGAAATATTTGCCAAACTGGTACGATAATATAAATATCTTTTATCTTTTACAAATGCTCGTATGTGAGATTTTTCATCGTATTTCCATTAATTCATTGCTATTAATCACAAAAATTTACAACATCAATACAGAAAAGAATTATATAGAACTATATAAATTGAATCAAGTTTATTATTGGTCACTTTTTTCAAAAATCATCTTTATAAATATGCTTTAACCTTATATACTTAAAATTTAATTTTAATTTTTTTAGAGGTTTATATTAAATTGCTTTTGTAATATCTAAAATTTTAATTTAATCACGTAATTCAAGAATTTTACAATTAATTTCAATTTTATATTTATAACCATAAATTTTTACACGAAAACAGTTATTTCTAGTAAAAGGTTACATCACAAAGCTATAGCACACCAATAATATCGTATTGTAACTTTTCCAGCTATTAATGAATGTCTCTCCAACCCATGTCATCATGGAAAATGTATTAATCAAGAAAATAGATACACATGTGTTTGCAAGAAAGGAATAACCGGTGTAAATTGTGATCGGGGTAAGAAAATTACGCTATTCTTCAAAATATTGGTGTTACGCCTTACAGCATACACTAATTGATCGACTTGGTTTATGAGATAAAATTTTTATTAATTACATGAATTTTACTTCCAAATCTCGAATGCGAGAGTCTTACATTATCACTAATTTATAAATATACAAATGCAAACTTTTTCGATGGTTAATGCTACCATACAAATTACTGTCTCAGACTCAGATTTGATTATCAAATTTTTCGTGATTAGTGAATATATTAGTATATAACATTTATATAACTATGTTATATTATAATCATACATAGCTATATTCATATATAAATTATAAATGTACAGATATGAATATGTATATCAGAATATAAATCTATAATTTGGATATATTCACTTACTTTATCGCATTCTTCTTGGTACGACCACTCTAGCATCTATTTTTCTTGTCTTTCTATTGCGCACGTAGATATTAATGAATGCTTGGATCGTAATGGTGGTTGTAGCCACTTTTGTAATAATACATACGCTGGCTACTTCTGTTCATGCCCTAATAGCTTAACAGTTGGTGTTGACAAACACACATGTATTGGTATGCTTTAATAGTATTAAAACTGATATATCAATTATAATGGATTGCTGCAGAGTTACGTTATATACGGTATATCATGCGTATTACCTTATAAGGAGCAATAATTTATAATATGATTAATTTTCTTAATTTCATTTATTAGTTACACTTTTTACTCACAACTGTAATTTTAGACCCGTGTCGAGCGTATTCTACCTTATTGAACGATACTGCAGAAGAAATTAGCAATCCTAGTATTTTCCAAATATCATCGGTAATCAGTCTATGTCAATTAGCACACAGCAAATCTAAAAACGATATAAAACGTTGGTATAAAGCCAAGATTGATGCTAATTGCACAGCCATAGCTAAAAGCATGACGATCCTACAAGGTAACTTAATTTCATAGACTATTGCATCTATTTAATTAAAAATTACTTCATTATCAAAATAGAGTAGTGATTATAATAATTACCATAAAAATATTTAACGAAATTTAATCTGAATTGATATTAAATTGTATCACCAGTGCATTCTTTATACCAATTTTATGATATATTTTTAATCTTATATACGAGTACATAGTCATCAGATCTGGGTATCAGCACTGCTACAGGTTATTTGTTTTATCATTACCTTAATTGCTAGATTTAATCTGTACAATATAAATTTACAAAATTAGGATCGATTGCAATCAAGGTTTCACAATCAACAACAGATTTCTGAGCTTTTCGCAAATAGCTAAGCCTACAGTAGCACCTTGACAGTTCATTTTTAATTCTAGTTTAACGATTTCCCTGTTTTTTAAGTAATTTCTCGCGTGCAGAATTTACTTTTTCCCATAAAATTCGTTAACATCAAAAACTGTAATCAATATTGTGATGGAGGGTTCGAAGAGTCAGATAATGTGGTTTTAGTTGCCATGCAGAGAATTGCACAAGGAGCTTAAGAAAAGAGGATACTTTATTGTAGATAGTAGTTAGGTACAATGTGATAATTACGATAGGTCAGCGTGATAGCTGACGTGAGTAAAGTGTGAATACTAATTTTGACTAATAATGCAACTTAAGAAATCTAAGGTAGAAAACGGCGGTATTTATAGCCATGGCAGTAGAACACATGCAGAAAACATGATTGTAGGATTAGATACAACATATACCATAACAGGTTATAGAATAGCAGATAATTGTAGAAAATCGCGAGGATTGTAATAACTAAAATGTAGTAAGCCATATTAGAATGTAGAGCGAACAGACTATGAATGTGTCTGTATTTAATAGCAATACAAAATGTCTATATTTAAGAGTAGATTACAGTTACAGTACAATCTAAATACATTACAAATATTCTGTAATAACTTGTGAGATAAAGCATCAAGCGGATATAAAATAAATAAACTAGTACAAACTCCCGTCGCTTTGCTGACGGTTTACGATAATTATATATATCCCAGTAATAGTACAGTAATAAACTTTGCTATATTAAGATTAGTTAATGGTCCAAAGCACATTATGATAACTAGTGTACGGTGATAGACATACCAAGTTAAGATTAGCAGGTACTGTAAGATATCTACAGTGCGGTACAATGTCCTTAGTACTGTGGTAAATTCTATACCAATCATTATAGTGTGTCTAAGGATCGCTTGCGTATGCAAGCAAAGCTTGCTCTGTCGATAACAACCATTATAAGAAAATGTAACAATCAAAATGGCTGTGTAGAAAACTCTATAAAGATTCTAGGTTTATTCAATTTTCATCAGAGTATTATATCAAATCAAAATTTAAAGGCCTAGTGGCCACCCTTAGCGATATAACAGATACTATTTTAATAATCAGTACTCTGCAGTCTGCAGACATTACTGCCTAAGAGCTATTCGTTTTACAAGAAGAAATCTTTAGGTAAAAAGTACTGTAAGAATCTTATACTGACCTATTGAAATGAACCCATAATCAAAGTCATCTAACAGTAGCAGTAGTATAAATATCCCCGCGCTGCTCGTTTCAAGGGTGGGTGGCTGGGATTAGTACTAAAGAATATTAAGCTTACGTTTTGATAGAAGCTAGGTATCTGTGGTTGAGTATCAACCTTGCAAATTATAAAAATTATCGATATTATCTCCGCGTACCTACAGTAGCACAAATTATATAATATAATCGCGATGATCAGAAGTACTAGAGCATTCAAAATCAACTAAAAATAGCGAGATATATACCGATAAATACAACACATTAAATTAATTTGGAATAAAAATTTTTACTAACCACGTCACCTTATAAAATTCGTCTACAATAGCCGGATTTCATGAATTTATTCAAGAGACTGATATATGCTATCATTTTGGCCTACCTACATGCTCGCAAAAGACTGAACCATTTCGAATGAAAGTTTGTTCGGGCTACAATGTTTATCAAATTAGTAGTTTATCGGCATGTTATTTGAACTATTGCAGTCAGATTAAAGGTAAAATTGCTATATCACGTTTAATATTCCCAAGTAAGCGTATATAATTCGGTACGATAACATTTAAGCAGTAGCTTAAAGGGCTCAATTTTTTAATCAAAAGCAGTTAGCTAAAATTTATCCGTAACAAAAGTTTTTATTTTCTCTAAAATAACATCAAAATCTTTTTTAATGCTTAATAGCCCTATATATTTACTGTGTTCTAGATAAATATCAAATCTACCGTATAAATTGCTTTACATTTTAGAGGCATTGATATAAAGTGATGAATCGTTTGTAATATTCTATAAAACCTTTACGGTGCAAGATTGAAATAGGCCCGCTGAATGTTCTTTTAATATTAATAACTTATGATAAAAGTAATATGTAATTTTATCGTACTTATGCAAACTTTAAATTTAAATTTGATATCATCTTTCATACATAATGTTATCCGATCATAGCTTATAATGAACATACAACGTGCAATTCACCAGGTTAGCAGATTAATTAGACTCTATTAAGCGTAGTAATAAGGCAATAATTTATCTATTTTATGCACTTGTAGATGAAAATTCTGCTCTCGGCCAACTACGTAAGTCAGCAGAAATGTTTAAATGCTCTTCAAGTGTACAGTATACTGTACTTCTAAGATTCTAATAAATTGAAATTAGGATCATGAAAAAATTAAAGCAGCTTGTTAAAAATTACTCTGACTTATCCCGTTTTTAGTATAAAATTCTGCAATAAAGTAACGCGTCCTATATTTTGCCGTATAGCTTACGTGTATTTATATTTTTTCAAATTAATCTTTTACTCTAATTATATATCGATTTTTCATCATATTATGCTAATTTTAATATTGAAAAGTAATGTTCACTACCAGATAGTGAAATGGATATCCATTTTATATAGCTACCCTGTAATTAAAAATAACACCTACAAGTACTTTATTGCATATATTCAGAAATTCACATTAAATACTTGTAGAATAATATAATATAAATTACTAAATTTCAGCGTCATCTGCCGTTCCTGTACGCCTTGTTTCTGGAAACGGTCATTCGAGTGGACGTGTAGAAGTCTATCACTCAGGAAAATGGGGCACAGTCTGTCGTGATGGTTTCAAGATAAATACTGCTCATGTAATATGCAAGCAATTAGGGTTTCTTAGTACAAATAGGGTATACACCGCAAGTGGAGGAACAGGTGAAATATGGCTTGATGATTTAGACTGTCATGGTGACGAGCTTTCAATTGGAGCATGCAAACACAGCGGATGGGGAAAGCATAACTGCGACCATAGTGAAGATGTTGGCATTTCTTGTGAAAGAAGTACCTGACTATGCATACGTTCAATTTTACTCGAAAATCAATCGATATATCTACTCTATACGTATAACTGTGATAATAAAGAAATATCACAATGATTTAGTTAAAACCGGATCTTTTTGTTCGCACTTTATTCATACAGTACCTGAAACTATATTGAAAATTATATGATGAATATAGTATATTTGAAAAAGTTTTAGTAAATTTAAAATTATACTAGTCTGTTATTATCGTATCTGAGAATACATAATTTAGCAGTTGCTAAGCATCTAATGTTAAAAATTTAGTTTTTTTTAATTCAAATATAATGACATTACTTTGTTAAGTTAAAGTATTGCATGGAAAATATTGTTTCGTATAGTTTTTCTACCGTATTTTATACGACAATATTATACATAATGCAATATTATTTGCACTACAGCAGTTTTATAAACACTTGTACTTTGAATATCTGTTAAAATAACTTCAATTTCTTCGACTTTAGCATTATCTTCCGTTCCTGTACGTCTCATTTCTCCGAAGAATTGCTCTATTGGACGTTTAGAAGTTTACTACTCGGGAAGTTGGGGTACAGTATGCAAAAATCAATTCGATCTGAAAGATGCGAATGTAGTATGCAAGCAGCTAGGATTTCCGAAAGCAAACAACTTTCATACCTCTCCTGGAGGATCAGGTAAAATCTGGCTTGATAATATCCGCTGTAATGGTAACGAACATTCAATTGCGGCTTGCAAATATCATGGATGGGGAATAAATTCTTGTAGCCATGATGACGATATTGGAGTATCCTGCGAGCCAGAAAGATGTTAGCTAAGTCTTCTTTCAATTTTATTTTTAAAATTAGAATATTATCTATGCCAACTCGTGCTCGACTATCGAGAATATGAAGTAATGTGATAACTGCTTGATAAAAGCAAGTCTGCTGGTAGAACACTCGATCCTTAAATTATGTTCGATTGGTCATGCTGTATATTTGAGTGTATAATTTAAAACTCTTTGAATTATAATGCAATTTTTTTTAAACAAAGCCTAGTAGATTTCAATTTAAACTAGCCTATTATACTCTACTTGTAAAACTAAATTATTCCTCTAGTAGTGATTTTGTAATATTCAATGTATAAATACCTGTAGAATAATGTAATTTTTTTCAATTTCAGCACTGTCTGCCGTCCCTGTACGCCTCGTTTCTGGTAATAGTGATCACAAAGGACGTTTAGAAGTTTATTACTCAGGAAGATGGGGAACAGTATGTAATCACGATTTCAGCTTGGATAATGCTCAGGTAATATGCAGACAATTAGGATTCACTAACGTACAGGAAGTCTATACCTCTGGTGGAGGAACGGGCTATATCTGGCTTGATCGTGTCAACTGTAATGGTGATGAATTTTCCATTGCGGCTTGCAAACATAGCGGTTGGGGAAGGCATGATTGTAACCATACCAAGGATGTTGGGATTTCCTGCGAATCGAAAAGTACTTAATTATGCTTCCTTTCTGTCAACTTTTCTTGAAAATCCAATGAGCACATAAACTTTATTCCAGATTTAGGCATAATCATGATTTCGAGCACTGTAGAACAATTATTTAGGGTTTATAATCGAGAAATTTATAAAATAACATGAACTAACCAGGTATATCTAGTAGTTACATCTAGTAGTCCATGAAAATACTTACGAGTATCACTTCTAATACATAAATTCAAAGTCTTTGAAGCTATTCTACGATAGTACGGTATAATATTGAACCATCCTACACTAAATTACACGTACAGAAACCTATGTGTTAAATACAATCATTTTTAACATTTTATTAGTTACTACTGTTCCTGTACGTCTTGTTTCTGGCGGTAACTCCTATGGTCGGGTAGAAATCTATTATAACAATCGATGGGCAACAGTTTGTGGCGACCATTTTGGGTTAGCCGAAGCACATGTCGTGTGCAGACAACTAGGGTTTCTTGGAGCCAGTGCAGTTCAAAATTATGGCGCAGAATATGGTACTATCTATCTAGATGATGTTAATTGTACTGGTGTAGAACCTTCACTTGCTTCTTGCCAACATCGAGGATGGGGAATACATAACTGTCATCATTCGGCCGATGTCGGAGTCAACTGTACTAACAACGGAAGCTGTAAGTTCTATCATTAGGCATGCAAGTAAAATCCAGTCAATAATACTGTACTTGAAATCCTCAAATAAAATTGCAATAGCAAAGAAGTATTTTCTTTTTACTGAAATAATTCGAATAGAGAATAATGAAATACTCGTAAAGAAATAGTTCAATTGCACTGTTCTAACTGCATAACATTATGATCGATTCGGCCATGCTGTATATTGGAGTGTATAATTTAAAACTCTTTGAATTATAATGCAATTTTTTTTAAACAAAGCCTAGTTGATTTCAATTTAATTATGCTTCCTTTCTTTCAATTTTTCTTGAAAATCCAATGAGCACATAAACTTTAGTCCAGATTTAGGCATAATCATGATTTCGAGCACTGTAGAACAATTATTTAGGGTTTATAATCGAGAAATTTATAAAATAACATGAACTACCAGGTATATCTAGTAGTCACATCTAGTAGTCCATGAAAATATTTACGAGTATCACTTATAATACATGAATTCAAAGTCCATACATGTGCATACATATACATAAAATATTTTAAAGATAGCATATGAATGATTTATTGCTTTTTATGTGACTACATCCATTTTATAAAAATGATATCAGCTTTCTAATGTACTCGTATATACGTACTATTACTGTTTTTCCACTTTAAGATCAAAATCCAACAACTTCAACGACAGGTAAAGTAATAACAATTGATCATACTTATCATAAACTAGGATACAATTATTTTAGAATCTTCCGATGGTTAAAAAAGCCATCTTACATATTATCATAATGCTTTTTTTTGAACAGCATATAACCCATGCTCCTCAGGTCCCTGCTACAATAATGGTACTTGCTATAACAATAATGACTCCTACGCTTGCGCCTGCCAAGGAAATTACGACGGATACAGATGCCAATATT